GGGAGTTAGCATAGCGATAGGGTAGATGCAGCGACAGCTGCCATAGCTGTAGTTAGTAGTGAGTGTGTGTATGTGTTCGAGTGTTAGAGTGATGCGTGTGGGATATCCAGGGTGATCCAGTGTATGTGAACAGTGAGATGTTTGGGCGCTGAAGTCGCCATAGCCAATTGAGAGTGAACTCGTATCTGAAAGCCATATATCTGATTTTTGAGTGGGCGTATGTCGCCAGTATGCTGCGTTGCTGTTTACATGCATGAAAAGTGTGTTTGAGAACAAGTCTGATTGCACTTGGGCTGCATTGCGACATTGATTGTTCGGATCATTGGTATTTAAGCCTTCTGCTGTGTTATCTTGTACTTTGTGAGAGAGGTCGGTTCTTGTTCTGGTCTGCACCTTTACGGTATGCGACAGTTTGGAATTGGAGCGGACCTCTCAATCAGAGGACTCGCTCAATCAAGTAGCCAGCTTGCTTGATCTATTGATTGTTGATTGATTGATTGATTGATTTGATTGATTGATTGATTGATTGTCTATTAGTAAATCAAGTAGGACTCCGTCAAATCTCGGAACTTTTTTTTTTTCTTTCTTGCAACAAATATCTGAAATTTTCTGATAGTAGCATTTCGTTTCTCTGATATTAGCATCCAAAAATTTCTGATATTTGCATACATAGCCGAAAGTTTCTGAGGTTTTCTGGAATATTATATTAAGATAACGATAGAGGTTGTCATATTCTCGGAGACTGGATTATTCTTCTCTGAAAGTGGAACCTCCAGTCTATTTAGCGCAATTTTTTAAAATTTTTTTTTCAAGATCGCATTTTTTTGGAAAGTCGAAACTTCGTGGAACCTTGCCTAGATCTCGCTCACAGTGCTCCTCTGAAATGCCTCACTCATAGCAGATCGACAGATATACAAAAAAAAAAAGAGAAAGGGGGGGGTGATCCTCTTCGTTTATTTTTTTTATTTTTTATTTTTTTCTGTTGATTAGGACCGGGAGGAAAGTATAGTTTGGTTGGTTACCTACCTGCGTCAACCCTTTGCCTGCATTCCCGGTTTGGTACAGTGCCACATCAGCAGTGCCACGTCAGTAGCGCCACGCCAGCAGTACCACGACAGCAACAGTGCCCCGCCACCATGGCAGTCTCAGTTCTGGGCATGCCAGGCCAACTGGCCAATGAGTCCATTGTCGAGTACCGACAACTGTTCCAGGCTCAGCTCGCACCATACTTGCGGCGCATCCCGTGCGCGCCACTTGCGCACGTGCGGCGCACTGCGTGTTGCGCACCTGGCGCCCGCACCCTGTGCGCCGCATGGGCAAAATTCGGGGTCAGCCAAAAAAAAAAAAACTTGGGGAGGGCGTGAACCCAAAATTAGGACATTGCCCGCGCAAATTTTTTTCAGGGCCGCGCCGCCCCAAAACCTGTGTGTCGTCATGTTCGCTGTACACAACTCCATACTATCTTCAGTGTATCTGAGCCCTTTCAAAGGTCCAATACGGTCATGATGAGGAGGCATCTGTGGAACCCTTGCTTTTGTCTCATTCCACGTATAGAAAACGACAGAACTGACAGTTGTGTCTCCTTGGTGCTTTCGCTATAAAAAAAAAGAAAAAAGAGAAAGAGAATGTTCGTGACAAGTTGAAAACCAACAACGTGGCGATGTATCTTTCCATGTTCTAGTGAAAGATTCATTCTAATTTTGCACAAATTGGAGAGTAGTCGAACCTGCCACCAGAATCCGTTGGGCCTCTGGGCCTCGCTGCACTACTCTCTAGATGCACAACAGACAAAAATCACGACGGTGTATCTTTCCATATTCTAGCGGAAGATTCACTGTCGTTTTGCACATTTCGAGGGCTGCAAGTCCAGCTGTAGTCGGGTGCGATGTAAGGGCCTCGCTCCACTACTCATGCACAAAAGCCAAAAAATATGGCGGTGTATCTTTCCATGCTATAGCGGAAGATTCACTCTCATTTTGCACATTTGGAGAGTGCTGGAGCGAGGCCCCAGGCTACCGTTGTATGGCCCTCACTCCACCACTCTCCAAATGTGCAAAATGAGAGTGAATCTTCTGCTACAAGATGGAAAGATACACCGCCATATTTTAGTCTTTTGTGCATGTGTAACCGTTTCCAAAATAAGACGAAAACAAATAAGAAAAAAAAAAAGGAAAAGCAACGGCCTATAGGGCTGAACAAAATGCCCTCTATCGAGAATCAATAGTGTCCGTTGATACAGGCGTTTTGTTCGGCCAGATAGTGTCAGGGGAATGATGTCGTGGCACA